TCTAAACTGCTGCTTCCATAGGTGTTGATTGTGGATCCAAGTAAAATGAAATCCTTGACAACCTCAATCTTTTCTCCATTTATCATGATGTTGTCAAAGTTTGTGGGAAAATTCCCATATCTTTTCATTCCCAAGGTCCTGCAGGGTTGCTCTGACCACACAGAAGTCCCTGAGGGAAGAAGGACCAAGCTGGGGGCCTTCAGCATCCAAGTGCCTCATGAGGCCAGGAACAGTGACAGAGAGATCACTGAGAAAAAATTATAGTCACTGATAATGTGTAAACCAAAACAAAGTTGCTGTTGAGTCCATTCTGATTCATAGAGTCTTTGGATATCACACAGTTATGCACTTGACTACTAACTGAAAGACTGGTGGTTTGAACATACCCAGAGACACCTCAGAAGAAAGGGCTGGTGATCTGTTGCATAAAGGTCACAGTCATGAAAACCTTATGGAGCTCAGTCTACTCTGGAATCACCATGACAGTGTCTCCAAACCAGAAAATCAAATACACTGCCATCAAATAGATTCCAAGTTACAGAGATCCTGTAAGGAAGAGTAAAACGACCCCAGAGGGATTTTGAGGCTGTAAATCTTTACAGTAGATTGCCTCATCTTTCTCCTGAGGAGCAGCTGGTAGGTTCACATTGCTGACCTTTAGGTTAACAACCCAACGATTAATCCAGTGTACCACCAGACCTCCCTGATAATGTCTTGTTGTCATTAAGTGCCGTTGAGTCAGTTCCAGCCAATAGTGAACCTGTATAGGGATTCCAAGAAGCTGCTAGTAAGCTGGAACCACCTACCTTCAGTTCAAACTGGCTTTGTAAAATGTCTAGGCACTCTATAATGTCACTAGAGTTTATCTCTGAGGTTAGGATTGATTATGTGTGATCTTTTTCTTGCTATTTTCCAAATTTTCTTGAGTGAAGAGTACAAAAGTGATATATTTCATTAACAAAATAGATCAATACTCTTGGATTAACACAGTTATACCCAAGGAGGACCATTAGTGAAAATAGCTGAGTTCTCAGGAGATATGAAAACTGGACTAGGTAGTCTCCAGACTCTCCTTGGAGTCTAGGCGAGAGCATCCCCTGCCTACTGATCTGGTCCTTCCCAAAGCAGACCTGAGTTAGCTCAGTAAGAGGCTGGCAGTCTTTAAGTGTCTGGAGCCGAGACTGGGACCCCTGTTGAGGCCTGTAGAGAGGGGGCCCAGCCTTCAGGAAGCCCCTGCCAAACCTGCCAGAACCTACTCAACAGGCCAGCTTCTCTTACCCATAATTCCTTGCCCCCAGTTACTGTCCCCACTCTGCTAGCGTACACAAAGGAGACTTGCTGTTTCCTAAGCAGAGAACTCTTTATTGTAATCCCAAGTTACAGGAGGAGAAATGACAAACACAGATATTCACCAAGAGGTGGCTGGCTCTCTTAGAGATTCTCACAATGCGTACAAAATAAGTGTGGAAGAGGATTCCCTGAAATGGCCTTAAAATGCTCTCTTTTATCAAAGAAGGCAGGAGCATGGCAGCTAAGTGCTTGGCCACCATGAGGAGGTGTTTCTAAATCCTCTGGGCAGAGACACTAAGGGAAGGCACCTTGCCTCAGCCCTGGCTGGAGGCTGAGCACAGAAGAAAGGCATTTTTTTCTACTGGATTTAGAGACCCGAGACAAGGCCATTCTCTCCCTAAAGGAGCAATGGAAGGGACATGCAAATCTCCCTGGGAGAAGTAACACAGCTGTTGTCTTCAGGCCACTCTCCTCCTCTCTGTGCTTCAGTGAAGGTACAAATGCTGGCATATTGGTTCCTTTCCCAAATGTGGTTTCAAGGAGTAGGGGAAAAAGATAAAAGAGTTCAAGAGTGCCTCATCTTTGTCCATGAAGGTGGTTAGGGCCCCTCGATGGTAGGACTATTTACATAGCTATGTTGTTGTTGTTGTTAAGTGCCATCGAGTCGGGTCCGACCCATAGCGACCCTGTACAGGGTTTCCGAGGGTGTAAATCCTTACGGGAGTAGAAAGCCTCATCTTTCTCCCACGGAGCAGCTGGTAGTTTCGAACCGCTGACCTTAAGGTTCGCAGCCCAATTCGTAACCACTACGCTACCAGAGCTCCTTTACATAGCTATACTCAGGGGAAATATTGGTGTGTGGGGATCTATGTGTGTGTCTGTGTGTGAGAGAGAAAAGGTGTTTGAGTTTATAGATGTCTGTGAGCCCACATTTTGGGGCAGGTGCCTTGTGTGTGGCTGCTATTTGTAAAGTGGTCCCAATAAACAAAGCAATCAAGGTATAGAAAGTTGGTGTGAAAGCTCCCTGTGGATGGTCCTGGGAAGGTTTCCTACTCACATTGCCATGGAAACCCAGCCCCAGAATCCATCTTGAAGTGGGTATGTCAGAGATGGGATCCTGTCTCATGCTAGGCAGAGCTGAGAGCTTGATGACTATAGGCATCTTGGTAGGGTCCAAGTGTGAAGCAACCCACGCTGCTCAGGCTGGACTCAGGAACTTGTGGCTTGTGAAAGTGTAGAAGAAGTTGGGAGGTTCAATGAGGCATATGAGAAGTGGGGCTAGTGGGAAACCAGGATCAAGGTGGGATCTTCCTGTTCTGGACTACCTGTGCTGTGCGTACTCCCACTACTAGGAGAAAAGTGGAAGTGAGGTGTACACCGAGGCACTGAAGCATCCATGGAAGCAGTTGCCCCAGCAGCGCTGCTGTCTCAGAGGTCCCAGCACCAGGCCCAGGAAGCCAGCTAGCTTTCAGCAAAGACTGAACTTTCCTACAGTGATGCAACACAGATACTGCCTGCTCGCCGTTAGCCTACTTAGTTTTCAGGTAAGGAAACTGAAGCTTAAGTCATCTGGACAGGTCAGAATTGGCTCCTCTGGTCCTCCTCTTGATGTCCCAAGTGTCCCTGCTCTCCACTATCCTGGCTGACATCTTGCTGGTGGATGCACCACTCACAGCCACTCATTCTAAGCAGGACATGCAATGTGATGCTCAGATGATGGAGGCACCTGCTGAGGATGCAGATGTGTCCGTGGAGTTGGCATGTCCAGGAATCTGGAGGCAAGTGGAGCACAGAATTCCCCTACAGTAGTAGGAGGAGACAGAGGAAGAGGTATGAAGACAGGTAGATAGATGGACCCAGATTCCCAGGGCAGTCTTCAAGGCAGGGACAGGGCTTTGGCAAGGCGGATCCAGAACCAGGACTTGGTGCAGGGATTGGTATAGTCACACACAGTAATGAATCGCAGGATGCTGGGAAACTCCTTCTTCATCACCTTGTATTTGATAGGGATCAACCGTTTCTGATGGGCACCTGCAAGCCAAGAGCATAGTGTTGGCACCAGGCCTTGCATTATGATGGAGTGGAAGCTGTCCCCAGCACAGGGTTTTACAGCAGGCATCAGACCTCACCTGAACAGACACCCCAGCACACATTTACCCACTTAGAAAGGCACACACACTTGTATGTGCAGAGGCCTGCAGGGCTTCTTTGGTATTACGTCCATAACTTGGATAGGCTGGCATCCTGAGGTCCTGCCCACCTAGCCAAGAGAAGGACAGACAGTGTCCTTTCTGGGTAGGACTGGAATGAATTTACCTGGACAGAGGCTGAGTGCAAACTTGGTCTGAAAGTCACATTCCTTGCTCTGCAGGTAATCATCAGAAACAACCACCACCATTCGACGACACCTAGGGGAGAGAGGGCAGGCTGTAACTACTGTGGCAACCTAGCTCAGCATAGCCCTATGTTCTGAGGGATAGCCTCGGGAGGAGCCTCCAGTGCTCAGGCTGGAGGCCCAGTATAAGGATCCCCAGGCAAGGCTTCAGGCACCCATGTGCTTGCCCTTGGCCAACCTCTTCTCGATGAGCTCGCTGGCAATGGACCAGACACAAGTGCCAGGCAGGACATCGCGGTCAGACACGCACAACTTCAGCCGATGGTTCGTCTGCTCCAGCTGCCGGATCATCTCATGCACAAACTGGATGTCGCTGGGGCAGTAGCAGATGAAGGCATCGAAGCACTCGGGCATTTGCCCTGGGGAAAAAGCATGAGGGTGATGGGCAAGACTCCACAGGGGAGGCTGGGGAGGAGCCCATATCAGGTCCTGGACCCTACACTCATCCAGAAATGACACTGTTCAGACAAAGTACCTGTCCTAGCAGAGGAAAGCTGAAGCCACCTACACAACAGCCGAATCCTGGGTTCATGGTTCAATAAACAGACTTTATGAGAGTTTCATAGCCAATCAGAGGTGGGACCATTATCATGCCCATTTCTTGGGGGTAAGGAAGAGTCTCAGAGAGATTAAGTGACTTGCCCAAGGGCCCACAGTCCACGTGCTTTTAGATTTGAACCAATAACATCAGTAGGTTGGTGTCATGCACTATAGTAAAAACCCCCACAGCCCCATGCCAATGGGCTTGGACCAGACCATACATAACCCATAGTAATGTTTACTATCAATTTTAATCATAGAATAATATGTGCTATGGAAATCAACTGCCAAAATATAATATTTGTTAGATTATATAAATACTAATAAAATTGCTTTTAAAAAATCTTCCCACATTAAATTATATGACAAGTTTCCACATTATTAGTAATTGAGCAGAAGCATGATTTGACTTTTCTCCTTTTCCTTTAATTAAGGAGGACTGGTGGTGAACTGGTTAAGCAGTTGGCTGCTAACTGAAAGGTCAGCAGTTTGAATCCATTAGCTGTTCCATGGGAAAAAGATGTGGCACTATGTTTTAGAAAAGATTGGCCCTGGGCAAAGCCTGTGGACCTGTTCTACTCTATCCCATAGGGTTGCCAGGAGTAGGAACAGCTATGGTTTGTTTGTTACTGTTGTTGTTTTACCTTTAATGAAGTAATGATTTCATTCTCAAAAGAGTTATTGATGTAGGTTCACAAAGACTAATGACTACAATATTGTAGCTAAAACACAAGGAAATTTGACAGAATCAATGACTATAAGAACAACTGCAACAACAGTACATGCTTGTAGGGTGAGCATCCTTGTAATTGGGTGATAATGACAGCTACACTGTGAGAGTGCTTTAGAAATGTCAAAAAGAAAATTAGCATAGAGTTTTAGCCTTGTAGGTTGTTTTAGCCTTTTAGACAAGGGTGGCTTACAAAAAAAGTTTTGTTGTCTGGTGGCATAGTGGTTACGAGTTGAGCTGCTAACTTCAAGGTCAGCAGTTCGAAACTACCAGCAGTTCCATGAGGTTTTCTGCTCTTGTAAAGATCTACAGCCTAGGAAACCCTGTACAGGGTTGCTATGAGTCAGAACCAACTCCACGGCACACTACCACCACCACCAACTACAGGGATATTTTTATAACAAATAATATATTTCTGCTGAAACACTGCACAAAACTTTGCTATTTTGGTGTCACCCCTTCTGACCGTGTCAGTCAGTGTGTTTCACACCCCACACATCCTCCTAATGACACCACTTCTTTGAACACTATCCTATGATCCCACCTGGCCCAGTGGAGCAACGTTGGGTTCTTACCCAGGGGATCATCAAGCGTGGTGATGCCTGCCAACTCCCGGGTCCGTGGAACACTGCTGTCTACAGCAGCCACCTGTAAGGGCTTCTCAGACTCTTCCTGCTGCTGCTTCAGAATATATTTCTGGCAATCCTCCTCTGTGGGGCAGAGAGATAGGGCATGGTAGGCTCCCATGAGAGCTCTGGTAGCGTAGTGGTTACCAATCGGGCTGCGAACCGGAAGGTCAGCAGTTTGAAACTACCAGCTGCTCCGCGGGAGAAAGATGAGGCAATCTGCTCCCGTAAAGATTTACAGCCTCGGAAACCCTCTTCAGGGTCGCTATGGGTCGAAACCGACTCGACGGCACTTAACAACAACAACAGGCTCCCCAGAAGTACCCCAAACCACTCACCACAGGTAAGATGCAGCCCCTCAGCCCCTGTCTTATTTCCTTGGTCCTCGTTCTCTAGCTCTGAGAGGCTGAGGTAACACCTGGCTCTCACAGTCCAAAGGGATGTGTTTAGTGTTCTGGTTATATGGGAAGTCGCCCAGTGTCTCTTCTGTCCTGAGTCTCTCT